ATTGAAGCACACATCATCAGGAATAATATCATTGTCATCCCATTGTTCTTCTTCACCTTCTTCTATTACAACGCCGGTTTCTCCATGCTTCGTCCAACAAATATAGTTTGGCATGAAACCTGACTTGAACAAGTGTGAATGAAGAGTCCTTGAGCAAGGATATTCCACCGTATTCTTACATATGGCACATGGGCAGCACATGAAACCGTCGCATTTGTTTGCCTCGGCCACACGTAACAAAGAATGCACGCCGTCAATGAACTCTTGGGAGCGGCGATCAGCATTGTACATCCAATACCGGCTCATCTGCATTACATGACATAAATACCATATTAAAACCTAGATTATAATTAATTATTTATACAACATGCATGCCACCACAAAATGTACAAATTTATGAAAGCATCGCTACAATGTAGACAATCCCAACTACCACTAAAAGAACTAAAGCTAAAATATATTTCAGGAGCACAAGGATTTCGTGACCAATCTCAACTCAAACAGACAGATCCCCCGATTGTGCAACATCTTTGGGCTTCTTCGGCTGGATCACTGTCTCATTAGCCGCCGTATCTGCCTGTTGTGCAAGATATTTTTGCACGAGTTCAACATACTCTTCCTCCTAGTAGAAGCCTGAACATCGTCCACTGCCATCCCACTGAAATGAAAACAAAAAATTAGAACTTTAATCACAACCATCATGAAAATAGGTATAAACTAACCATAATCATTAAATATGATAAAATAACTCACATTGCGATCCGGACACTTGTAGAAGATACGATCCTTGTTGGGACCCTCCTTCTTCACTCGGTACTCCATCACAATCTTTGTCTCATCACGACACTTGCCGCATGGAATGAGAGGGAGGCCCAGCCTAAGTTGCTTTGGAAACCCATGAGAGGCCGAGGACCCGGAAGCAGTTGCCATCTACTCTCTATACTCATTTTTAATACACTATAAATTTCTCATTTTATAAACAACTAAAATTAAGAAACTATAAAATTATCTATATCTCTAAACAATGATATTTTTAATGGTCATTGTGTTCTCGTCTTTTACTACGGCAGGAACGGAAAACGGTCTTCCACGACCGTTGCCGCTCTCCCTCGTAGAATCAAAGCTCCTCCTTGATGTCCGTTACCGCTCGGCAGAGAACATGCTCGCCGAGCTGAACACGGTCCGCATGTTCAACTAGTACGGATTTTCTATAATTTTCTAACTATTTTCTAAGTTTTTTATTTCATAAAAAGTTAAAATAAAATGTTTAGTCGTGGAGTCCATAGAAATGACCATATTTTGACCTAGCAACGCATTGTCAATTGTCGTTGCGTTGCATTGCACCCCGGACTGGACTCCGAACAATAAAATACTATGGTCGATCGATGTCGTTCTTTGTCGTACAGTCGCACGGCGATGGCCGACGGACCCGTTCAACCACCAAATCTGTCAGGCCCGGCTGTTCGGGCGTATCATCAAAAGAGAACGGATTTGCTTCCTATTGCACGGCCTTGCATTGCATCATCATACCGATCGGAGGCACTAGTCTCTATACTCATTTTTAATACACTATAAATTTCTTATTTTATAAACAAATAAAATTAAAAAACTCTAAAATTCTCTATATCTCTAAACAATGAAGTGTGCTATGCATGCTACAAATGAACGGTGAATACTAGTTTTTAATAGCTACTTTAACCTTCCTTCATGTAAATATGCAAGTTTAAAGTTTAAAGGTTTCCAGAGCGTTTAACACTACTCTGCTTGCTGTGGCCATGGTCATTGTGTTCTCGTCTTTTACTGCGGCAGGTAAGTAATCCACATGATATTTTCGTAAATTAACAGAAGAATGAGAGTGTACATACATAACAATCGATTATCGTTTATATTTATATATATACTACGTTTGGGTACGGTGATTGACAGACTACTGCGACGATATCGGGATATGTGAATAAATAACCATCCGTACTAGTTGATCTTGCTTACGTGATCATCTCGACGAGCATTTCTCCACCGGACGGCACCGTACTTGGCCACGGAAGAGCTCCGATTCTACGAGGAAGGGAACACGGTCTTCCACGACCGTTGCCGCTCTCCCTCGTAGAATCAAAGCTCCTCCTTGACGTCCGTTACCGCTCGGCAGAGAACATGCTCACCGAGATGAACACGGTCCGTAAGTTCAACTAGCTACTTTAACCTTCTTTCATGTAAATATGCAAGCTTGAAGTGATTTTGAGCTCAAATTGCTTACAAATGAAAAAAACCACAATAAAGAACCATATATATAGTGAACAAAATGAGATAAGACAATGGTGAAAAATGAGAGTATGAGATTGGTAACCTTTACAACTGAAGAATCGACGGAGGAATCGAAGAAATCGACGGAGAAATCGAATAATGGATGGAAAAACAATGGAGGGAGGAAGCAAGAACACTAGTGCAGTGAGCTTCAAAATGTGCTGAGCTCGGGCTCGGGGAGGAAGGAGACGGCCGGGATATAAAGGGGGGACCTTTAGTCCCGGTTGGTGGCTCCAACCGGGACTAAAGGTAACTTTCCAACCCCGGGCGCAGCCACGGCCCGGGAGTAGACCTTTACTCCTGGTTGGAGCCACCAACCGGGAGTAAAAGTCTACCTTTAGTCCCGGTTGGTGGCTCCAACCGGGATTAAAGGTCCCTGCCACCTACATCTGGGCTTGATAGCCGTTGGGCAGGGACCTTTAGTCCCGATTGGAGCCACCAACCGGGACTAAAGGTATCTCTAGTCCCGGGCGCAAAAAATTCCGGGACTAGAGCCCATTTTGACCGAGTATCATAGGTCTGTTCTCTACTAGTGATGGATACAAATTGACTTATCTTGGAGCCAAGTGGTGGCCAGGGTGCTGCCACTGCTAGGGTAGAGGCTAGGTGCTATTGATGTCAAGTAGAAGGCTGAGTGGTCGAGGTGGATTTTGAGGTTGAGGGTAAGCGGACATGCATTTAATGTCGAGCGAGTGCGTGGGAGTTGGACCGCGGGGGTGTGTGGCTAGAACTCAGAGATGGCTAGAGCTCTAGGTTGGGTAGTATGAGCTTTGGGGTCAATTTGGGCTATGGTCCAAGTTCTAGTACAAGAGCTTGTGGACGACGTTGGAGCGAAGGTTCTGATCAAGGCCCAATACAGCAGGGAAAATCATAGGGGTGTGTAGAAAGGTGGGTGTTTGTTTTTCGGTTGGACGTAGCCATGGTTCGCCAGAAGGGGTGACACCAGGAACTCTGGCATCAATGTCGAATCCATATTGGCATAGGGTCCAGAAGAGACCGTGAACGGTAGAAACAAAAAAAGTAGGAAACCATGGAATGGTCCCTAATTATGATGGCTTGGATATATTTGAGAGGTTTAATAAGAGTCTTGTCGGGACAATGTTTAAAAAAACTTGAAAAAGTATGTGATATCTTACTACTTTGGAGAGTTTTATTTAGTAAGAGTATTGTTGGGACAATGTTTTGAGAACCATATAAAAGTATGTGCATCTTACTACTTTTGAGAGCTTTATTTAGTAAGAATCTTGTCGGGACAATATTGTTTTGAGAACCTAAGAAAAGTATGTGCATCTTACTACTTTTGAGAGCATGAGTAAGAATCTTGTTGAGATAATGTTTTTTTTTCGTGTTAGCCTTCAAAAGTAGTATGAGGGCTTAAGCAAGGGTCTCGCTGACTTCTTGATGATGGTTTTGTCCAAGAAGCCTATAAAATGCACAATTGTCCAGATTTCATCATTGTTGCATTCTTCACAGTTATGTAATAACTTTGATACTTCCTTGTTCTTGTACCATTTTTACCATGTTAGAGCAAGTTTAATAAGCTTATCTTATAGGCGAGCAATGTCATCAAGAGACTAACCTTGTAAACTAGTCATATAATAACTTACCTCTTCACATAGATTCACTTTTTATTACCTAGGCCCACCACATCAGCATATGCAGGAGCAGTAACAGAAACGACTGCGGGCCTGTTTAGTTCCCCCAATTTCCAGAATTTGACACTATGCAAAAAGAAGATTCCTCGTCACATCAAACTTGTGGTACATACATGGAGTACTAAATGTTGACGAAATCAAAAACTAATTGCACAGTTTGGTTGTACTTTACGAGACGAACGTTTTGAGTCTAATTAGTCAACGTTTGGACAATTATTACCAAATACAAACGAAATACTACAGTAGCTACTGTGGCTACAGTAGCTACGGCGGCGCCGATTCTGGCCTCAACTAAACGAGGCCTGCATGGGCTGTGAGGAGGTGATAGTGATGGACCCCACAGACTGCATGCAAGATGTGACGAGAGATGGTGGTGGTAGGCCCACAGGCTGCATATGGAGTTTGGATGGTGTATATCAAGCTCACTGTGCACCACCTCAAGATATACACCATCCAAACACAGTGAGCTGCAGTGTAGCACAGTGTGCAACACAAATCCGAAGAAGAGATCTCAACGGTGGAGATATAGCACATGCTGCAATACATTTTTGATCATGTGGTGCCTATTTCCTTCTTTCTTCTTTATTCTCTCTTCCACATAGGACTTTACTGAGTTGGTTTGGCTAGATGTATAATTGTATTTGCTCTTATGAGATAATTGACAATATTTTTTAATGAACATCCAGCCAAGAGAAGGAAATGGGTATTTTACCATTTTCTTGAGCGAGCGAGGGAAGCAATCCTATGCTTTGGGATGGATTGAGGTGGGAATTAAGATGAAGACCAAGGGACAGATGATGTGTTTTTTTTTTTTTTTGGCATTAGATGATGTGGGGGTTATGCACACTGAGAGACCAGAAAAGATCAAAGAATTTCAGTGTGGAGGGAGGTGAATTATTGGTGTTAGCACGGGTCGATATCAGAAGCCAAGTTCCAAACTACTACTAGTAGTATATTGGAGTCAAGCTTCCACTCCGACTAATCTCCATGACAGCGAGGCAAAGCTAATCAAGAATCTGATAAACAGACGACCACAGCAGTGTCTCAAGCGTGCGAAGCCTCGTCTACCGTCCGCTCAGCACAGACGCAGCACTTGAACTGAGCCCCGGCGCCGGCGGCCTTCCCCGCAGCAGCGCGCTGGCCGTCGAGGTAGTGCTGGTAGACGTATGAGAGGAATCCCCACACGGCCATGAGCATGGCGACGGCCTTGATGCCCGTCATCTTGTCGCCGAACAGCAGCACCGCGAACACGGGCACGAGCGGGAGCTGCACGGTGCCCGTCGCATTGGCGAAGAGCGACGACACCCGGGCGATGAGCCGCACCTGCCCCGCCAGCGCCGCCTGCCACGCCGCCGCCGTCCCGACCAGCGTCAGAACGTACCTGGCCCTCCCGTCCTTGAACGCCGCCATCTCCGCGGGGATCGTGCGCCACTCCCCGAACGCAAACAGCCCCAGCACCGACACCGCCGACGCCACGAGGTTGGTGTGCATCTGCACCGTGAGCACCCACCGCAGCGTGCGCGCCCTGACCACCTTGACGAAGGCGAGCTCGAGCAGCGACAGGATGAGCGCGAACGTGGCGGAGGCGGCCAGCGTGAGGACGAACCCGGCCGCGTATTTTCCCCGCGGCAAGTCGGACGACGACGACGTCCCGTCGGAGGAGGAGCCGACGCCGAGCAGCGCGGCGGCGAAGGTGAGCACGACCACGGAGTTGGCGATGAGCGCCGTGAAGCGCTGTGAGTTGATGAGCCACGACGTGACGGCGTTGAAGGCCAGCTGCGTCGCTGCCACCAGCGAGAAGGTGGACACCGGCAGGTACTGCAGCGCGTACGCGTACATGAGGTTGTCGAAGCCGATCAGGATCCCGATGCCCAGGTACACGGCCACCAGCCTGGACGCCGCTGGTACCGGCTGGCGGCGCTCCTCCTCGCCTTCACCTGAGCCTGGGCCAGAGGTCGGCGGCGGCGCCAGGAGCAGCGGGATGAGCAGAAGTGGTGCCCCGCCGGACTGCGTGAGCGTGCTCATCCATTTGCTGTTGCCGCCGGAGTTGTAGTACAGGCGGATGAGTAGGGTGGCCACGGTCCCGCCGCAGAGCACCATGAGCATGTCTGCCGCCACCAAGATCCACCAACGGACGCTGCCTTTCACCGTCCGCCGTGTGGGGGCTTTCTGGCCATCCTTGCTGTCCTTCCCGTCGCCGGATTCCAGTTCCGGGACTCCTTAATTATTGGTGCAAACAAAACATATTGGCCGGTAGTCAGAATTTTGCAGTGAAGTTTATGATCAGAAACCAATCAAATAGACGAAAACAGACACTGAGTGCTTGGTGAAGACCCACTTAACACATCATTCGCATATACAGTAACTAGGATGAGAAAGAGGATATCTTCTGAAGTACAGTACCTATTATGGTTTGGAGCTGAACTTCTTGAGCATGAGACGACGGCATATTCGCCGGTTGTTGTCAACACCCGTTTGATGAGCTATGATGCGCTCCAGACTCCTTGGCATGTTTGCAACCTATATACTGAGTCCAGCGTCTAATAATGGCCAGGTGACATCTATTTTCAAGTTTGATTAATTGGAAGATTTTATATATACATAATAAGACAAATCTGATTCCTTGACTTATTTCATCAGGCCATGACCAAATCATGTGTATTAGGTTTAGACATGTATGAAAAGTCACGGCCTCACTTTGTCTATGGTGTATGATTGTGATGCACTCCTACTCGGACTTGCGTGCTCAGAGAGTCCGCTCTCTATTAAATTAGGTCCTTAAACTTGTCTGAGGGTTTCACTTAGGTCCACAAAATCTAGAAAACACATTTCTGGCACTCTAATGTTGTTTAAGTGTGCCACTTAGGTCCATAACGGATTGGAAGCTGGGTTTTAGCCTACATAGCGTCACCAGCGTGGCGCTGTGTAACACTCTAAAATTTGCATAATCTTGAAATAGGAGAATTTGATTTATTACGTATTTTTGTGGGCATTTGAATTTAGGAAAAATAATAAATTTTATCAAATTAAAATCAAATATAGGTTCACAATCATGTGTGTGCATTCATGCTGCTGCATAATGATTTTTTAGTGGTGTGATTTGAAATCAAATTTCAAATTTCTTTGAATTTGTATTTGGAGATTTGCTTTGGAAAAATTAGAAAAAAAAACGAATTTCCCTTCCTCCTTTCTCCTTTCCCTGTTTTTGGCCTGCTGGCCTGCTTCTCCTCCGCGTCGGCCCATCTCCTTCGGCCCGCCTCATTCCCTCTGCGCGACCTGCTCACTCCGTCCACGTGGCCCGCTTCCAGCTCAGCCTCCCTCCCGCGCCCCGCTTCTTCCGCAAGGCCCAGCAAAGCCAGCGGCCCAGTCGAAGGCCAGGTCCAGCCGCGCCCGTGTGTTCTCCCTCCTACCCGCTGACACGCCGGTCCCGCCCGTCAGGGGCCTCTTCTTCCTCCGTCTCGTGACCGGCTCGGACACCGTCGCCGCCGTCCATGTCCGCTTTCGCTACGCCACGGTGCCGTGCCGCCTAAGTCCCCGCGCCTCTTAAATAGTCGCCCGAGCCTCGCCGCCTCCCTGTCCCACCTTGTAGCAAGATTTTTGTCCCTGCGCGAGCTCGCAGCCGCCTAGCCCTAACCGCCACCGTTGCCATCCGCCTCACTGAGTGCTGCACTGCCTCCGTTGATCCCCGCTTGCTTCTCTCGGTTCCGGTGAATTCCCCACACTCTCCTCTCTCTCCTGGACCTCTTCATTCGTCAAACCGTGCTTTGTAGTCCAAAAACCATGAGTGCCGTCGCTCCGGCAATGGCGTCGCCGCTGCCAAGATCGTCGTCGGCCCTGTTTCGGCCGGCCATGCTCTCTCTCTTCCGCCCGATCCGATCTCAGCTGCCCGCTTCTAATCCGACGGCCCCAGATGAAGAATACCCCTTCGCTGGAGTTTTTGCAAAAACCACCTTACAAGTATTTGGGTCTTAACCCGTAGTCCAAAACGTCTTTTAGATTTTGTTTTCTTCTTTTGAAAACGTATTTTGTTTCGGTTAAATCTAAAATACGTTTTAAGCTATTTACAGTTTTGCCACTAAATTTGTTTTAGCCATAAAATCTCCGTTTTAACTCCGATTTGATCCGTTCAACTTGCGTTAGGTTCATAATTCCATAATCTACATGTTCATACTACTGTTATGTAGGTTTTCAACTTTTAAAATTTGAGGTTAGATTTAATTTATTATTTTACTAAAAAAAATCTTGTTTAATTCATAACTACTTCATTTTAGCTCCGATTTTTTTGATCTTCGCGTCTGTGTGTTCGTAGTGAGACGTAGATTCGTTTTCCAAACTTTTCATCTTGATTTTGTGCTGTTGGTGTACTGTTCTAATCTATAGCTTTTGTTTGCTATGCATGATTGCTCCTAGATGCTTGTATGTTGCTGTGATTATCGAGTATAGACTGTGAGCAATTCGTGGGAGATCAAGGGTACTACTTTGACGAGTAGGATCAGCAGGAGTACTTTGCTCAAGGCAAGTATAGCATGGGATCATCCTTGTTTCCTATTCACTTTAATACATTAAATTCATGTTGCATGTGTCGCCTTGATAGGGATTGCTTAGAATTGAACTTATACCTTGTCACCTATGGGATATGCATTGGGTAGCTTTGCTAGTGCTAAATTAAACCATGATCTTATAACTTGACTAATGGTATATGCAATAAACATTAAAATATGACTTTTTAGCAACTTGGAAACAGGGAGCTGGGGTGTTTAGCTACTTTCTAAATGCTTCAGATTCCTTTTCCTAATGACTTATCTATAAGTGATCATCCGGGACTTACAGTATAGCTGTGAGGGCTACATAACTCTGGCTTTAGCTCAGTATGAGGACATTTTCTAGCTTGTTAGTGGTTACCTTTATTGGCGTAAGAATGGCTTGACGAATTGGGTATAGTGCGGCCTCTGTCCCCTTGAGTATAGGCTGCGCGTCATTGTGCCATCGGGAAGGGGGCTCTACATCTGTTTCCTGAGTGAATCTAATGGCCCTAACTTGTTAGACGAACCTTTAAAAGGCTTCATAGTGAACCCTGCCGACCTTCCTTGGTAGTTGGTTAAGAGGCTCGCGACCTCAGGCGAAAGGGTAAATCACGACTCACAATGAAAGTGTACAACTTCTGCAGAGTGTAAAACTGGTATATCAGTCGTATTCACGGTCATGAGCGGCCTTGGAATATTTACGGAATAGATGAACACTAAGAATTATCTGTTTATGCTATTCATTACTCATGTTTACATTGATCATGTGTTTTGCATTGGGAATTAAAACAATTTGTTGCTACTCTTATGCTAAAATTGTGACAACTAAAAGCTAAATGCTGTTAAACCTGTGTCAAGCCTTTTGAGCCTCATGAACCCCGTGTTACACTTGTTGAGTACGACATGTACTTACGCTTGTTTATTTTCATTATTTGGATAAAAATCCTGAATGGGTAACAGATGGCTATGGTAAAAACGATTTCCCTGAGGATTACTAGACTTGTGGTCAACCAGTTGACGTCCCTGTGATATGGAGCTTCCGCGAGCGATCTTCTCTTTATACTTCCGCTACTTTTATGTGAAGACTCTGTCTTATTCGTGATGTAATAAACACTTGTGATGATACTATTCATAATTTGTCGGCTTATGTGTGTGACTGATCTCTGGACGCACATAAGATTTTGCATCCTATTTTATCCTTAAAATTGGGTGTGACACGCTGACTGTGTATGGGTGTGAGATTAGGCACCAGGGGAAGGTTCATTATGACAAAAGCCCCCCAGTTGTCCTGTTCTCAAACATGTGCCCACATGTAACTTTCCCCTTCTCTCTCTCAATCTCTCTCCCCCGGAAGTCATTGTCGCTGCCACCGCCCTCTCCATCTACTCCATATTAGGGAAGATTATTCATACAAAGCAAGCCATGATTAACACTATTAGGATAAATAACAAATGAATCCCAAACCCTAGACGCCAAAATAAAAAGGGCAAAGATTTGGCATTCCGATTCACATCTAACTACATTCAACGCACAACCAAGATTACCACAACATGGGCTAAAGGGGATTCATTCACCATACATAGGCCTGGGTTGCCCTTTCGTCCACAACACCACCACCATCGTGCAGATTCACCGTGATCGCTATGGGGATCCGCACTCCACCGGACTTCGCCGTCCCTCTTCCGTTGTGTTTGCCTCCACTAGCCCCGCCCATCGTGCTCCCCTGGCTCCGTGTCTCCGTGATGACGGACTCGAAGAGGTAGAGTACTCGGTACTGGAAATGAAGGGAAGATGAGGGTCGCTCTTCTTGTTTCCACGGCCCAAGCCAACCTCATGTGCACAGCGACATAGTAGACCAAAACTCAGCTTCCGAACCGTTATGGATCAAAGTGGCACACTTAAACAATATTAGGGTGTCAAAAATGCGTTTTGAGAGTCTGTGGACCTAAGTGGCACCCCTGACAAGTTAAAAAGTCTGCCATGCATTTAACTTTTTTAAATTCATACCGGTACTGAAGGGTTTGGTCAAACCTCTTTGCAATAGTAATAAAGTCTTTCAGTCTGTTCGCTTGTTGGTTTCAGTCAGGGCTTATCAGCCATGGTACAATATTTTTCTCTCATAACAAACCAGCACTAGTTGAGCTTATCAGGCCAGAAACCAACCAGCGAACAAACTGTTTGTCATGGGCATCGAATTTCTGATAGGATCGAATTGACAAATGAGCGTGTGTCTATCTCTCACTAGCTGAAGTGCCCTGTCTACTGTCTTATCTTACTGATTATTTCATTTAGGGTCTTCGAAACAAAACAGTGTTCAACCATGGGTTTACGTCCGCATCAATATTCATATCAGATTTAATTAATTTGATTTGATATAGATGAACTGTTTGATGCAGCTTGTAGACTCGACACGTTATTATAGTAGCTGAAGCTTTCGTCTAGCTGGCCGGTAAATTGCCCCGTTTTTCCATATGCCCTGTATCTACTGTCGATTTGAAGAGGATGATCTCACTCGGGGATGATGGATGTGTTTGATTTAAGGAATTGGGTGGTCCATTATCTTCTCACTTCTCACTTTTTGTATTTAGTGTGTGGAATGGAATGGGTTGATCCATCACCATCTCATTTCTCACAGGCTAATAATTAGTATATGCATGAGGAATAAGTTAGTTCCACTAAAATTTATGGGATGAACTCATGATGAATCACCTCATGATGCATGGGGTGACTGTACAAACCAAACATATGGTGTTGAATTCTAGCTAACGTAACATAATGTAAGATTTTACTCACCGGCTATGACTAATGCTATTTTTGCGACTCCGCTTTAGTATACAAGACATTCTAGAAAAAAAGCTAAATTACAAAAAAGGAAAAATCAGAAATATACAGACATTAACTATATTTGCTGGATGTGATTATCACT